CAAACCTTTTCTTGATTTTCTGAAAATAAAAGACCTTGGTTTTCAGCCCGTATTTTAAGTGGCTCAGGTATACAAAGCCTTTGAAAATGACCGAAGGCTGCCAGAATCTACGCAAAAGGCCAAGGTCTGTTATACAAGAGTCAGTTCAGAGCACTAGCAAGGTGATCTTGAACGACAGATCGCAGATCTCCAACATAATTACTCAGGATATGAAATCATTAGTGACATCGGTTCAGGACTCAATTGGAAACGCAGGGGTTTCTTACCCTTTTGGAACGAATATACTCTGGAGGAGTCGAAGAAGTGGTGGTTATCCGAAAAGACTATTTGTGTTGCTTTGGATCCAAACTTGTGGAGTGGATCTTTGAAAAAATAGGACACAGCTCGTGGTATTTGGTTCAGACATTTGTGCCAATAATAATGAAACTAGAGAACTTGCGGAAGACTTACTTTCAATCATCACAGGGTTTGTGGCACGACATAATGGATTACGCTATGCTGCCAATCACAAAAGAAGAAAAGATACTGTCCAAGCAATTCAAAAGTTCCAAGAAGAAAGTAATGAAACTTCCAGCAGGCAAAGTACGACGCATTCGCCTTTTCCCCACTCAGTAGGAACGATTGAAACTCAGGCAATGGATAGGAACAGCTCGATGGACATATAATCGATGCCTTATCGTGATTAAAAAAGAAGGTGTCAAACGAAAAAAGAAGGACTTACGGGCTCGATGTCTTAACGCTTTTAATTTCCAGAATAAAACAAAACTTGAGTAGATTTTAGAAACACCTTATAATATACGAGATGAAACAATGAATGATTTACTAAAAGGATATGCATCCAATTTTGCTGCGAATCGTAAAAACTTTAAAATGAAGTTCTGTTCTAAAAAAGATCCACAACAATCAATTGCAATACTTTTTAAACATTGGGGTAAATCTTGTGGTGAATTCTCATTTCTTCATAAAATGAACTCAGCAGAATCTCTTCCAAAGTAACTTGAATATGATAGTCACCTTGTTATAAATCGTCTTGGTAAATTTTACCTTTGTATACCTGAGCCACTTAAAATACGGGCTGAAAACCAAGGTCTTTTATTTTCAGAAAATCAAGAAAAGGTTTG